ATATAAGAACAGGGTTATTACACTATAACGATACAGGCCATTTGATCGGTCAGAGTTGGAATACTGCATATGCTTCTGGGGTCAGGAAGGTGGCTGCCCCCAGAATATCCTAAATTGGCATTAGAACCAGAAACCCTCATCACATGCACATGTACGCCAACAGGGCAATTGACCAAACAGAGTCATAGAGTCCTACAGCACAGAGACAGGCCGTTCGGCCCAAACTGGTCCATGCTAAACAAAATTCCATCCATGCTAAGCCCATTTCCCTGCACTTGGCCTATGTCATTCTAAACTATTCCTGTCCATGTATTGGTCCAAATGCCTTTTGAATGTTGTTAATGTACCTGCCTCAACCACTTCCACTGGCAGCTCATTCCATGTGTGTATCACCTGTGTAAAAAAAAAAAAAGTTGCCTCACAGGTTCCCATGTATTATATCCCATCTTACCTTAAACTGATGCCCTCTAGTCCTTGATTTCCCAACCCTGGGAAAAAGACTGAGTGCATTCACCCTATCCATGCCTCTCATGATCTTATACACTTCTATAAGATCTCCCCTCGGCCTTCCACCCTCTAAAGAAAAAAGTCCTAGCCTGTCCAACCTCTCCCTATAACTCAGTCCCTTGATAATTGGCAACATCCATGTAAATTTCTTCTGCACTCTTTCCAGTTTAATAACATCCTTCCTACAGCAAAGTGACAAAAACTGAACACAATACTCCAAGAGTGGCCTCACCAATGTCCTGTACAACTGCAACATAACTTCCCAACTTCTATACTCAATGCCCTGCCTGATGAAGGCCAGTGTACCAAAAATCTTCACTGCCCTGTCTACCTGTGACTCCACTTTCAGGGAACTGTGCACCTAAACTCCAAGGTCCCTCTCTTCCTCTACACTCCTTAAGACCCTACCATTTACCATGAAACTCCTACCTTGATTTGACTTTCTAAAATGCAACATCTCATACTTATCTTTATTAAACTCCATTTGCCATTTCTCAGCCCACTTCCTCAGCTGATCAAGATCCTGCTGCAATTTCTGACAACCGTCCTCACTATCCACGATACTGCCTACTTTACTGTCATCCCCAAACTTACTAATCATGCCTTATACATTCTCATCCAAATCATTGATATAGATAACAAACAGCAACGGGCCCAGCACCGATGCCTAAGGCATACCACTAGTCACAGGCCTCCAGTCCGACAAGCATCCTTCAACTATTACTTTCTGCTTCTTACCATCAAGCTAATTGTGTATCCAATTTGCCAGCTCTTCCTGGATTCCATGCGATCCAACCTTCCAGAGCAGCCTACCATGTGGAACCTTATCAAAGGCCTTACTGAAATCCATATAGACTACGTCTATTGTCTGCCCTCATCAACGTTCCTGGTCACTCCATCAAAGAATTCGAACAAATTTGTGAGACATGATCTCCCACGCACAAAGGCATGCTGACTACTCCTAATCAAACCCTGTCTTTCTAAATGCATGTATATCTTATCCCTCAGAATCTTCTCAAATAACTGTTAGGCAGAAAGTTAGATTAGGCTGGTTAGTTTTTTTTCACTGGATGCATGGCTGAAATGGCCTGCAAGTTTTCGGTAATCTTTCTACATTTTGAAGTTTTTATGCATTTAATTGTCAGTTTGGTTCTTTTTGAAATTTCTGTCACTTGACCAGAAACAAACCCCAGGCGCAAAGTTGTATTGAACTTAGGATTTAACCTAATGTTTAGCGTTGAACTGAGGGCAATTTTACTTTGTTTGATGTTACAGAGTGGTAGAGGCATACAGCACAGAAATAGACCCTTCAATCTAACCAGTCCTTGCTGATCATAATCCCAAACTAAACTAGTTCCACCTGCCTGCGCTTGGTCTATATCCCTCCAGACATTTCTTGTTCATGTATTTATCTAAATGTCTTTTAAACGTAACTGTACCCACATCCTCCACTTCCTCTGGAAGTTCATTCCACATAGGAACCATTCTCTGTGTCAAAAAAAAATTGCCTCATGTTTTTTGTAAATCTTTCTTTTCTTACCTAAAATATGCCCCCTAGTCTTGAAATTCCCCACCCTAGGGAAAAGACACCTGCCATTCATCTTATCTATGCCCCTCATGATTTTATAAAAAGTCCCAACCTATCCAGCCTCTCTTCATAACTCAAACCGTCCATTCCTGGCAACATCCTGATATATATTCTCTGAAACCCTTCCCGTCTTAAAAGTGTCCTTCCTATAACAGGGTGATCAGAACTGGATACAGTCCTCCAGAAGAGGCCTCACCAACATCCTGTATAACCTCAACATAACATCCCAATTCCTATACTGAAATTTCTGAGCAATGAAGGCAAGCGTGCTAAATGCTTTCTTAACCACCCTTTCTATATGTGATGCAAACTTCAAAAAATTATGTACCTGAATCCCCAGGTTTCTCTGTTCTACAACAGTACCCAAGGCCCTACTTTTAATTGTTTATTTTACCCTTCCCTTGTATATCTTACCAAAATGCAACACCTCACATTTAGCCATTCTTCATCTGCCATTCTTCAGCCCATTGACTCAATTGATCAAGGTCTGTTTGTAATCTTAGATAACCATCTTTACTGTCCAATATATCACCAATTTTGGTGTCATCCACAAAGTTACTAATCATGTGGCACTGTGCGTCAATGGTTAGCACTGCTGTCTCGCAGCGCCAGGTAGCTGGGTTCGATTCTAGCCTCAGGTGACTGTCTGTGTGGAATTTGCACATTCTCCCCGCGTCTGAATGGGTTTCTTCCGGGTGCTCCGGTTTTCTCCCACAGTCCAAAGATGTGCAGGCTAGGTGGATTAGCCATGCTAAATTGCCTATAGTATGTACAGGGATGTGCAGGCTAGGTGGGTTAGCTACGGGAATTACAGGGGATGGTGGGGTCTGGTTGGGATGCTCTTCGGAGGGTCGGTGTGATTCAACACCATAGGACCTCTATGAAGCCTTCTATACTCTCTCTGTTGTGATCTATTGATGAGAATTAAGTTGCTTCAGTACTGCCAGCTCCGGTTCTACTTCATCTTGTCCTGATATGTTGTGAATACTGGTTATGGTTATGTAATGGAACACCAAGGAGGGCAGCTGTAGTAGTTGAAAGGACCCTTTCTTAAGGAAAAGGGGAAGGGGTCCACATGGAAAGAAGGATCAGACAGAAAAGGTTTTCCCAGGTAGATGTAATTCTGTGTAAATATTGTACTTTCCTTACTTAATTTCTCTTAATGTTTGTAATGACCTGATACCAGTGAAATAATGAATCCATTCTTCATGGTCTTTTGGCCACCTGTGTGTTCAAATCTCTTGTTACAGTTATGATATTAGGTTGTCATGTCTGCATAACTCACCACATTAAGTCTAGTTACATTTGGGACAGTATCTTAATAGGATAGACATGGTACATGCAGGTAAGATTTTCCCCTCCTAGAATCCCTACAGTATGGAAACACGCCCTTCGACCCAACAAGTCCACACTGACCCTCAGACCATCCCACCCAGACCCATACCCAGACACTATGGGCAATTTAGCCTATCCAATCCACCTAACCTGCCCATCTTCTCCTTTATCCATCTTCGATCCGCTTCCCCCTCTCTCCCTATTTATTTCAGAACCTCAGATAACAAGGCGTAGAGCTGGATGAACACAGCACTTCTGAAGAAGGGTCTAGGTCCGAAACGTCAGCTTCCTTGCTCCTCTGATGCTGTTTGGCCTGCTGTGTTCATCCAGCTGTACACCTTGTTATCTAAGATTCTCCAGCATCTGCAGTTCCTACTATCTCTATTTCAGAACCCCCTTCCCTCCCCCATTTCTGAAGAAGGGTCTAGGCCCGAAACATCAGCTTCCTTGCTCCTCTGATGCTGCTTGGCCTGCTGTGTTCATCCAGCTCTACACCTTGTTATCTCAATGTCCAACTTTCTCTAGTTTCAATATCTATAAATCCCAGATTCTGATAACTGTCCATGACTACGTTTTGGTATTTGTTTTTGGTTTGAGATAGGTTGTGGTTTAAGTTAGGACCTATAGTTTAGATTCAAGCTGAAAGTAGGACTTGTTAGTGTTAAGAGGAACGCCACTAGTCACAGCCCTCCATTCAGAAACGCACCCTTCCACTGCTACCTTCTGATTTCTATGACCGAGCCAGTGTTTTTATCCATCTTGCAAGCTCACCTCTGAACCCATGTGACTTTACTTTCTGTATTAGCCTGCCATGAGGGACCTTGTAAAAGGCCTTACTGAAGTCTATGTAGATAACATCCACTGCCCTACCCTCCTCAATCATCTTTGTCACCTCCTCAAAAAATTCAATCAAGTTAGTGATACATGACTTCCTCTTCACAAAACCATGTTGTCTCTCACTAATACACCCACTTATTAGCAAGTGGGAGTAAATCCTATCTTGAAGAATTCTCTCCAATAATTTCCCTATCACTGACGTAAGGCTCACCAGCCTGTCATTAGCTGGATTATCCCTGCCACCCTTCTTAAACAAGGTTTCACATATATTCTCATCCTCAGCTGAGGTGGGGAGGATGGTGGTGTTGCACAGCAGCTAAGTACAAAAGATAAAGCTGAAGCATTTGCAACATTCTTCAGCCAGAAGTGCCGAGTGGATGATCCATCTCGGTCTTCTCCAGAGGTTCCCCAGCATCACAGATGCCAGTCTGCAGCCAATTGAATATACTCCATGTGATATCAAGAAGTGCCTCCAGCCTTTGTATCCTGAAAAGCTGTGGGCCCTGACAACATTCTGGTAATAATAGGTCTGAAGACCTGGGCTCCAGAACTTGCCACAGAACTCTAGCCAAGTGGATCCAGTACAGCTACACTTATCATTACTCAAGTAAGAGCAAAATGGCAATACTGTATTTATTATTTGGCTTTGTGTTTACGGTAAGATTAGTTCAGAGTTTATCAGAATTTTGTGTATGATTCTGTTCTATTAATTTGAGATATTTGTTTTATTCAGGATTGGAATTCTTTGGAAGGAGCTCCTGACCACATTGTTTCCTCTGTTACTTTACTTCAGAGAGACGAAAGACAGAACACTGCTTTTGGAGCAAAATCAAACCCCTTGCTTGATGATGAAAATGTTCTGAGCATTGACATGAATAAAAAGAGCACCAGTGGTGTAGCGACCCTGCACTGTTGCTCAGAGGGGCATAATTATGTTGTTTACATGCCATACCACAATCATTCTGAGGAGGCTCAGTATGCAACGGTGTTGCACTCTAAAGACCAGATAGGTCCACCCACACTCTTCTTGAGGTCAGATTCCACTCAACCACTTCTGCATGAATTAACCCAAAGTCCCAAATTATATGAGAATCCATGGTTTACGATGTCTGCTACAAATGACAGTGAATTGTCCCAGGATATTTCATTGTCAGATATTATAGTTGAAGAGGAGGAAATCTGGAAAACGTTCCCACTTTTATGGGGACTGGTGTCTGAGCACAAATCTGATTAAATGGTGACACAGTTGTAACCCACTGGTGAATTACAGAAATGGTGACACATTGATGATACACTGATGCTTCAAAGGTGCCACAATCATCAATGCTGAATGGTGACAGCTCTGCTGAATGCACCAGTGTGAGCAACTCAATCTGCCCGATTCCTCTGCTATTTCTGCATTGACCTGCAGTTTGTTTCTTCTCTTCATGGAGTTGTATAAATTCCTTTTGAAACCACATTTGAATCTGCCTCCCCCAACAATCTCAAAGTGCATTCTAGATTTCAACCACTGGCTATGTGACAATGTTTTTCTCCTGTCACTTTTGGTACTTTTGCTGATCACCTTAAATCAATGTCCACTGGTTTTTGACCTATCCACCAATGGGAAGAATTTATCCAAACTGTTCTATCCAAACCTCAGGTCATTTGAATACCTGCATCAAATTTCCTTGCAACAACCAGTTCCCAAAGGATAAAACTCTCAACTTTGTCAATTTATACATGTAACTGAAGTCTTCTGTCATTGGAATCATTCTCATTTTTTTTTTCTGCGTCCTCCTCAAAAGACTGTTATCTGCAGTTAGACACAAAACTCCAATTAAAACTGAGCTATGTTCACCACAAACTCCTTACTTTTGTACTCTATACTTCTTTTTGCAAAGTCCAAAGTCTCATTTGCCCATTAACCATTTTCACATTCAATATGACCAATATCAATAATTCATATCGGTATATCTCCAGATCTTTCTGCTCTTGCACCCTATTTAGAGAGAGAATTGTATCCTTCACTTTCTCACTTTTTCATATTACTCCAAACAAAATGTATCATTTCACACTTCTCTAAACTAAACTTCATAAGTCCAGCCATTTGATCAGCCTCATTATGTCCTCTCTCAGTTCACAATGCTTCCAATTTTATATCAGGAAATTTTGAAATTGTGGCCTGCACACCCGAGTTTCATCATTAATATAGATCAAGAGAAACTATAAATCAAGAGTAGACTATTCAGCCCATCAAGTCTGCCCCACCATTCAGTATGATCGTGTCTGATCGAACACCCGTTCTCTATGACTCAAACAACTTGTATCCATGCTGCCTCGATTGCCTTTGTTCCTTGGGCTTCAGCTTTGCTGACAAAGCATTTTTAAAGAAAACCTTTTGGAAGTCCATGTACACTACATCAATCACATTTACTATCAACTATAAAATCTACTCAAAAATGTAATCAAGGTTAATTAAACTTGCCCTGAACAAATCTGTGCTGCAATCTTGAATCTTGTCTACCCTTGTCAGAGTGACTGTTAATTTTGTCCCCATTATCATCTCTAGAGGTGCTAGTTAAATGAGTTGGCTATCATGTGGTTATCAATAGCACAATACTGCAGGTTCAGTTCCTGATCTAGCTGATGTGAAGTTCACACATGTCTCCTCACCTCAGAGTCAGAGAGATGTGCAGCATGATAACGGACCCTTCGGTCCAACTCATCCATGCCAAACAGATAAATTAATCTAGTTCCATTTGCCAGCAGTTGGCTCATATCCCTCTAAACCCTTCCTATTAATATACTCAACCTTTAAAGATGCCTTTAAATGTTGTAATTGTACCAGCCTCCACTAGCTCCTCTGGCAGCTCATTCCAACACGCACCACCCTCTGCATGAAAATGTTGTCTCTTAGGTCCCTTTTAAATCTTTCCCCTCTCACCTTAAACCTATCCCCTCTAGTTTTGGACTCCCCTAACCTGGGGAAAAGACCGTGACTATTCACCCTATCTATTCACCCTGACTTTATAAACCTCTGTAGGATCACCCCTCAGCCTCCAACACTCCAGAGAAAATAGCCGCAGCCTATTCAGCCCCTCCCTATAGCTCAAACCCTCCAACCTTGGCCAATCCTTGGAAATCTTTTCCGAACCCTTTCAACTTTAACAATATCCTTCCTATGGCAAGGATTGCATGCAGTATTCCAAAAGTGGCCTAACTGGTGTCCTGTATAGACACAACATGACGTCCCAAAATTTATACTCCATGCACTGACCAATGAAGGCAAGCGTACCAAACACCTTCTTCACTACCCTGTCAATCTGCGACTCTACTTTCAAGGAACTATGAACTTGTACTCCAAGGTCCCTTTGTTTGGCAACACTCCCATTACCAGTTCTGAGGAAGGGTGGCCGGACCCGAAACATTTACTCTGATTTCTCTTCACAGATGCTGCCAGACCTGCTGAGCTTTTCCAGCAACTTCTGTTTTTACTCTCCATAACCTTTCCATTAAGTGTGTAAGTCCTGCCCTGATTTGCCCTGCCAAAATGTAGCACCTCACATTTATCTAGATTAAACTCCATTTGCCACTCATTGGCCCATCTGATGAAGGTCTCATTGTACGCTGAGGTAACCTTCTATGGCTGTCCACTGCACCACCAATTTCAGTGTCATCAGCAAACTTACTAACCATACCTCCTATTTTCACATCTAAATCATTTATATAGAAGACAAAAAGCAGTGGATCCAGCACCGATTTCTGGCACGTCTCTGGCTCCAGTACAAAAATCATCCCTCCACTACCACTATTTGTCTCCTACCTTCTTGCTAATTTTGTATCCAAATGGATAGTTCTCCCTGTGTTCCATGTGATCTAACCAGTCTACCATGCGCAACTTTGTCTATGGACTTCAGTCAGGCATTCAACAATGTCCACCTCTCTGCCCTCATCAATCCTCTTTGTCATTTCTTCAAAGCAATCAAGTTAGTGAGACAAGATTTCCCATGCACAAAGCCATGTTGACTATTCCTAATCAATCCAAACACATGTAAATCCTGTTCCTCAAAATGCCCTCCAACAACTTGCCCACCACTGATGTAAGGCTCCTTGGTTCATGGTTCCCTGGTTTCTTAAATAGTGGCACCACGTTAACCTACCTGCAGTCTTCTGGCACCTCACCCTTGGCTATCGATGATACAAATATCTCAGCAAGGGGCCCAGCCATCATTTCCCTAGCTTCCTACAGACTTCTAGGTACACCTGATCTGGTCCTGGGGATTTATCCATGTTATCCATTTTAAGACATCCAACACCTCCACCTCTGTAATATGGACACTCTCTAGCTTCCATATCCTTCTCCACAGTAAACACTAATGCAAAATACTCATTTAGTATCTCCCATATCTCTTGTGGTTCTACACTTAGGTGGCCTTGCTGATTTTTAAGGACCCTATTATCTCCCTCGTTATTCTTTTGTCCTTAATGTCTTTGTAGAAATCATTTGGATCCTCCTTAAATCTATTTGCCAAAACTGTCTCATGTCCCGTTTTTGCCCTCCTGATTTCCCTTTTAAGTATACCCCTACTACACGTATATTCCTTGAGGGATTCCCTTGATGTCTGCCTTCTATACCTGATATATGCTTCCTTTTTCTCTTGACTAGAACCTCAATTTCTCCAGTCATCCAGCATTCCCTACATCTACCCGCCTTGCCTTTCACCCTAAGAAGGACATACTGTTCCTGAACATTTGCTATCTCATTTTTGAAGGCTTCACACTTTACCACTTGGCCTTCTTCCAATTTATGAACTCTGACTTTTAGATCAGGTCTATCCTTTTCCATAACTATTTTAAAACTGATAGAATGATGATCACTTGCCCCAAAGTGCTCCCCCACTGACACCTCAGTCGCTTGCCCAGTCTTATTTCCTAACAGTAGGTCATATTTTGCTCGTTCTCTAGAAGGTACATCCACATGTGAATAAGAACATTTTCTTGTACGCGCTTAACAAATTCCTGTCTATTTGATCCCTTAGCACTATGGCAGTCCCAGGTTATGTTTGAAAAGTTAAAATACCCTACCATTACCACCCTATTATTCTTGTAGATAACTGAGATCTCCTTACAAATTTGCTTCTCAATTTCTTGTTGACCACTTGGGGGGGTTGGAGTGGGGAGGGGAGGCGGGGGTAGTGGGGGTTGGGGGTTGGGGTTGGGGTGTGGTAGGTTGTGTTCCAAAGCACAATCCCAATAAGTTGATCATCCCCTCCTTATTTCTCAGTTCCACCCAAATACCATCACTGGACGTACTCCCTGGAATATTCTCCCTAAGTATAACCATAATGTGATCCATAATGAAAAACACCATCCCTGCTCCTTGCTTGTCCCCCTTTCTATCCTTCGTATAGCATCTAAACCGTGGAACATTAAGCTGCCAGTCCTGTCCATCCCTGAGCCATGTTTCTGTAATAGCTATGATATCCCAGTCCCATGTTCCCAACCATGCCCTGAGTTCATCTGCCTTACCTGTCAGGCCTCTTGCATTGAAATAATTGCAGTTTAATTGATCAGTCTTACCTCGTTCTCTGCCTTGCTCTTACTCATCTTCTCAATCGTACCAGCCTCAGACTTAACTCCTTTCTCACTATCTCTTTGGGTTCTCCCACTCCCCCACCCCACCCCCACCCCCACTAGTTTAAAGACTCCTGAGTAGCACTAGCAAATCTCCCCAACAGTATATTAGCTCTCTTCCAATTCAGGTGCAACCCGTCCTTCTTATACAGGTCATTTCTACCCCAAAGGATATTCCAGTGATCCAAAAATGTGTATACTTCTCCCCTGCACCAGCTCCTCACCTACTCATTCATCTGCTCTATCCTCCTATTCCTACTCTCACTAGCTCGTGGCACTGGGAGTAATCCAGATATTACTACCCTCGAGGACCTACTTTTTAACATCCTGCCTAATTTCCTATATTTAGAGCCTCATCCTTGTTGCTTCCTGTGTCTTGGTTCCAATGTGTACAACAACCTCCTGCTGGTCCTTCTCCCCTTTGAGAATATTCTGCACCCTCTCCGAGACATCCTTGACCCTGGCACCCGGGAGGCAACACACCATTCCATTGTCTCGTTGCCAGCCACAGAAATTTCTGTCTGTACCTCTGACTAGAGAGTTCCCTATCACAATCGATCTCCTGGAACCTTGCGTACCTCTTAGTACAGTGGAGCGAGTCTCAGAAACTTGACTGTCCGTGCTACATTCCCCGCGAGCCCATCACCCCCTACATTTTCCAAACAACATACTTGTTTGAGATGGGGATAGCCACAGCAGATTCCTGCGCTACCTGCCTTCCTCTTCTACCTTTCCTAGAAGTGAGCCATCTACCTGACTGTATATGCATTTTTTCTACCTTCCTGAAACTGCCATCCATCACACTCCCAGATCCTGTAAAATTCCTCATTGCCTCTAACTGCTGCTCAACCAATCCATGCGATCCAATAGGATTCACAACTAAATACACATCCTGCAGACATAATCCTCAGTAACATGGAAATTCTCCCTCATCTCCCACTTCAGATCCAACAAGGAGAGCACATCACTCTACTAAAGGCCATCTTTGCACCTTAACAATCTACAGACCCAGAAAATAGCACAATCTTACTGCTCTAAAAAACACTGCTCCAGGGTAATTTGGTGCCTATGTTTTATATTTTAAAAAGAAAGTTTAATCTAGAGACATCTCAATAAAACATATATACAAAAAAATTACTCTACTCACTGTTATAGATCAATAAACAGAGTACGATTAGACTTAATAAACCACTTAGCTGTTCCCTTGCTGTGAGGAGATCCAATACTGAGTTTCTCCAAGGTCAGCTGTGAATTTCACTGTTTGTTTATTTTTCTTGGATAGATCTCCAATGTCCAGAGATACTTGAAATTAACAACAGACAGTCAACTGTGAAAGTTTACTGCCTGATCAGACAGCTGTGCAGGTTCACTGCTTGTTTTTTTTTCACTTCTATGTGGTCCCTGCTCTCTCTCTCTTGTTTTACGGTACCTTGTTTTTATCTTCTTTTTCCTACATTCCAAAACAATGCAACAGCTTACAAAACAGTAATTACTGCTCTGAAAGAATCGAGGAAATCACCTCCAACACAGGAAAAAAAGTCAAAAAAAGGACCAGCTTTTACAGCCACAAATTTTCTCCCATCCTCCATCCTGGATTACACAGAATCCATTTTGTCCCATGAGTGAAAGGCAATTGCAAACCACTACCGACAAAAACAGTTTTTGCCAAAATTTCAATTCCTGAGGTTGTAGACTTGCTCGCTGAGCTGGTGTGTTTGGTTGCAGACATTTTGTCACCCCGCTAGGTAACATCATCATTGTGCCTCTGGTGAAGCATTGGTGTTCTGTCCCGCTTGTTATCTATATACCTCAGTTTGCTGGGGTGTTTGGCATCACTTCTGGTTCTGTTTTTCAGTGGTTTGTATATCGGGTCCAGGTCGACATGTTTGTTGATGGCATTCCGGTTGGAATGCCAGGCCTCCAGGAATTCCCTGGCATTGTCTCTGTTTGGGTTGTGCTATTGTGGATGTGTTGTTCCAGTCGAATTTGTGTCCTTCTTTGTCCGTGTGTATTGAGACCAGTGAGAATTGGTTATGTTCCTTGGTGGCTAGTTGGTGTTCATGTATCCTTATTGTCAGCTTTCTTCCAGTTTAGCCTATGTAATGTTTCTCAGAGTCCTTGCATT